TTCTGAGAACCAATCCTGGGACAATTTTCTCCACATTGCTTTTGATTTTCTTTACGTTCTTCCCGATTTGCTGAATGTTATTGCTAATACTATTTTTTTTTCTAAATATTTTCTTTTCTTTTTTTTAGTTGTAGTTGACACAATACCTTTATTTTATTTATTTGTATGTGGTGCTGAGGATCGAACCCAGGACCCCGAACGTGCTAGGCGAGTGCTCTACTGCTGAGCCACAACCCCAGCCTTATTTCTTTTTTAATTCTCTAAAAACGTTGGTGTTTTTGTTTTTTTGTTTTTTCAGTGCTGAGGATGGAACCCAAGTTCTCACCTAGGCTAAGCAAGTGCTCCACATTCCCCAGCCCTGAGCAAATATTTGCCAAGTGCCTGCTGTTGTGGGGATGCTGGGAGCCGGGAGCTCTTTCTGTGGAGGCTGGCCCTTGTTACATTAGTTACCTTTTTCAGAAACATTGTTCCCTTGGCCCTTCCCTGGTGGATTTTTTTTTTCCTTTTTGTTTTTTCAGCCAGGTTCCATGAGACCAGGGCAACACACTCTCTTGTTGTGACCATTATTCATTTTATAGTCAAATAATAAGAAAATCCACTTTGATTTTCCTTATATGAGTGGTGGAAGTAAGAAACAACATATCTAAGTCAGGCAGGTGGTGAATGGCCTGTAATCCCAGTGACTTAGAAGGCTAAGGCCAGGCCGGAGGAGGATCTCAAGTTCAAGGCCTGTCTTAGCAACTCAGTGAGGCCTTAAGCAACTTAGAGAGACCTTGTCTCAAATGAAAAATCAAAGGTCTGGGGATGTAGTTCAACACCGGGTACCCCCCCCCCCCCCAAAAAAAAAAAAAAAAAAAAAAAAAGCAGTGTATCTAGCCTGATATGGTAACCTAGTTGTTATGACTGTTGCTATAAACATATGGGAAAGTTGTTTGTTTCTTTCTTTTTCTTTTTTTTGATCTGGAAAGATTGCTTTCAGGAAATAATATCAATAATAATTGAATGCCTATTATATGTGAGGTGCTGTCCTGCACCCTGTATAAATGAATTCCCAAAGTCCCAAAGTAATTAAGCCAGGCAGGACTTAGACAAGAGGTGGGAATGGAAGATGCCCGGCACAACGCTGCACAGCCAGTGTGGAGCAGGGCCGGGGTTTGCACTCAGCTCTGGTGGCCAACACCTTGGCCCCAGGGTCCTGCCGTTACAGAGCTGTGCTTGTGCACTTCTCACTCTCAAGGATGGTGTCTTGCAGCCCATCTCCCCACCTGTCTGGAACTGTAGTAGAGGATTCTTCATCTCAGTGGGTAACGGACAGCTCAGTTTGGTGTTAAGAAACCGCAGCAGCACCTAGGATGCCAAGGTGACAGCTGCCACAACACGGCTCTGGGAAACTGTCCCTCTGGGGATGTCCCACCTAGGTGCTGAACGTGACCCATTAGGCAAACAGAGTATGGTGGAAGCTGCCAGGGAAAGAGGGGGATGCGGGTGTACAACCCACTGTCCACGGGGAGCCTGGCTGCCACCTCTTCTGTCTGGGCAGGTGTGGATGATCAGATGGCTGTAGTATATTTGGCATCAAAAGAGGTGTCCAAAATGCAGGCAGGTGATAGTTGTAGTTGCTTTGTGATAAAGTTTCCGCCATTCCTGGATGATACACTTCTTTTTCAGTCTCCGTATTTCCACTTTTTAGCCCCAAGCACTTGCTGATGTCTCTGCAATAAGGAGAGGAAGCGGTGGGGTGGGCCTTGCAGCAGCATGCACCTGGCACAGGGAGCATCCTTTGCTTTCTGTCGTCCTATTTTGAGGTTGCCCTTCTGGTTAGGGGAGTGGTGCTGCTTTCCATTAGTGGCCATGGTATGAGGTTACCTTCTAAAATAAATGTATGCAAGTGGGTGAGTCAACTCAACACAGCTAGTTTGCAAATAAAATCTAGAGCAGGAGTTCTCAACTTCGCACTCTTGGCACTATGGTCTGGAAATGCAAAACCAACAGGAATGTATCTTTGAGGATGGTCCAGCCATGTGACAGCTAGAAATCCGAGACAGGAGATTTGGGTAGTAATTAATACATAGCCAACTAAAATTGGCTCCATCAAAGTCAAATAGAACAACCTAGGAATTCCCAAGACTGAGGAGTTCAGACAGTGGACAAATCCACGTGCTCTCCTGAGGTTGTTCCCTGCCTTGCTGGGGATACTTGGGGAATGGGTGTCTGATGGAAAAGAAGCTGGGATTGCTTGCCTGTTGTGATTGCTGACTGTTCAGAAAACACTGTGTGGAAAGTGCAAGTTACATTCAGTGCAGGTGGAAAGTGAATGGGGGAGGTGAAAATCAGATTGAGTGAGTTGGACTTGGAGCTGATCACACGGGGCTCAGATGATGGAGGCCTTGCTTTATCCTCTAGCACCTAGCCCTGTTTCACAGTGAGGTGCTGCCTTAGGAGAAGGAGAGGGTCTTGTTCCAGTCCTTGGCCTTCACAGGACCTGGACTAGTACTTCATATCAGGTGACATTTCATAAATGGGTCTTTACCATAATGAATTTAGCTGAAAAGCATTGAGTCTCTAGATGGTGCGTGCACAAAGGGAAAAATGCCAGTGTTACCCGAGGATGTGCAGGAGTTTCCCCTACTCCTTCCTCCCGGGGGTGGGGGGTGGGATCAGCTTGCCCTGGAGGTTTCCCGTGTGCGTCTGTTGGTGTATCCTCTTGCTTTTGTGCAAAAGAATGACATCTCTCAGCACCTCACTTTTCACGAATTTCATTCTTTACCGGTTGTTAGGAATTCCATTTTATGGATGAACCCAGTGAATTAACCCAGCCTCCCCCTGAGGACAGCTAGATTCTTTCCAGTCTCTTGCTGGCACAGTGTATGCCTGCTGCCAAGAGCATCCTGATGCTTGGTGCTCATGCACACACCCGTAGGTTAATAATGAGGGGTGTAGCTGGAGAGTTGATGTGTAGAAGCTTCTGCCAAAACAAAACAGAAAAAGCCTACAAGTTTAATCCGATACTGTGCGGCCCTCTCCATTCTTTCTCGTTTTTCACTGGAAACATACAACTGTGAGACCTATCACTGCAGGATTATTGCAGGATGCAGAGAGAGTGCTGGCTCTTAGAGGGGTCAGTCACGGCCATCACAAATGTGTCTGCCCGTGGAATCGCGGTTGGCTGTCAGATGCACTCTATTTCCACTCCTCCCTCCCTCCCTCTCTTTCTCTCCCGCCTTCCTTACTTCCTACATTCATGCAATCTGGCCTCAGTGAATATCCACTGACGGCCGGCATGGGTGATTTGTGGCCAGGAGCACGTGGGCAAGGGGTTGGGCTTCTTGAGACTTCTATGTGTCTGACCTCTGAACGACTTAGAAAGTGGCCAGCAGGACTGAGTTACTAGAAGTGATACCTGTCCCTTTCTGAGCACACTCCACTCCCAGCCCTGGCTTACTGGAATGAGGATGCTATTTTTAAGAAAGAGCATTGTGTTTCATCGTGGAAATTTTGAGCATCTGAGCAGGCAGCTTGCTGGCTGGCTCAGCTTTAGGGTCCTGAAGCACAAGGACTGTATGGGTTCAGCTCTGGACTCCAGCATCCCACCAGGACGTGGCCTGCAGGAGGAAGGGCAGAAGGAGGGTCCGCGGAGGACAAGTGATCATGTGAGTCATTGTTGCTACGTCCGGTTGGTTTTATTTCAGTTGTCGACATCTTGGGGGTTGGAGAGCTGGCAGGGCTGGGATTCTCTTTCCCAGGCTGTGCATACTGGAGCAAGGTGAGCCGCTGGCCTGGGCACTTCCACTGTGGTGCTGAAGGGGCTCCTCCTTCTCCAGACCCCTGGTTTATCAGCCCTCCTGTGGGTGAGCTGCCCTTCACGGAGTGGTGCAGATCCCAGGCGTTCCTTTCCTTCTCCGGGGCTGAGCTGGGAGGGGGGTGCCTGTGGGTTGGTGCCGACGAGCTGCCCTCTGGGGATAGCAGGCTGAGGTGGTGCTTGGGTTGGGTGTACTTCTGGCCTCGCGTCTCCAGGTTCCGCTGGGCTGAGAGACATCATCTTTCTGGTTTCCACCTCTAGGGTGTTGCTATAAAGGACAGCCGGGGGTGGAGGAGACTCCTGGCCCCTTTATGTAATACTCCGCCACAGCATGGCTGGAGGAAAGACTGTGAAGGAGACCCAAGCCCAGGCTGAGACTCCACTGTGCCTCGCCTCTCCATAAACCTGGGTGCTTTGTTTTGTGCTTCCCTCTCTCATCTGCAAAATGTAAAAAGTAATAGTGCTTTCCTTTTTCTTTTTAAATGAATCCTGCTCTTTGAAATACGTAATGTAAGTTTGGGGGAAAAAAAATATATGTAAAATACATATATAACCCGGGAGTGCTTAACCACTGAGCCACATCCCCAGCCCATCTTTTATTTTTTATTTTGAGACAAGGTCTCACTAAGTTGCTGGGACTGGCTTTGAACTTGTAATCCTCCTGCCTCAGCCTCTGGAGCCTCTGGGATAACAGGCATGCGCCCTGGGACAAAGTATCTTTTACTTGGACCATGGCTCTATTTTCCCATCTCACTAAAGGACAAAACCCCAAATATGGCTGTGTTCCTGACCTAGCCAAGACCTAACAGAAAGGCATTCTGAGGAGAGTGAACAGACGTGGAAGGCCTCTATTTTGTTGGTGTGACATTGATGTGGGCCCAGCCTGGGAGATGTGGGTGTGTCCTTGGTATGTGGGCATGGCCTTGACGTGGGTCCAGCCTAGATGTGGGTGTGACCCTCGTGTATGGGCGTGGCCTTGATGTGGGCTCAGCCTGGGAGATGC